GCAACCAGTTTGGACATGCTATCACACAACCTCTAGGGCAGGTGGGAATCGGACCTGGACTTTCTGGCAGAAAGAACCAACAGAAACAATGAAACTGGATCAACCTGTGTATAATGTTCAACGTCTCTTACACCCACAAGTAATTGCCCCTTGCGCCTGTAGGAATACCACAGATCAGCCTGTACAAAGCAGCTTCTCTCAGATTCAGTTGAACTTAGTGCAAGCTCAAAGAATAGCACCTCATCTTTCATCTCAGCACTTTACAGTCTTCTGAATCCAATATTGAGTTCAACAAGCTTAGATCATAACCTCTGTCTTTATCTTGGTCGCTGTGCTTTACTGTTCTATTTTGTTTTACTGGCTTGTTTCTTCCTTTATCCGTTCGTGTCATTTTCAGATATCTGCTATACAGCCAGTCACAGCTCATCTAGACTTATTCATGATCTCTTTACAATGTACTCATTACCACTTTCTTTGGTTTTTGCTTCACAGAATCTGTTGTTGGTTAATCTCTCGTGACTAACGCCCTATCACAGAATCTTCTCCCTGTAACCCCTCCCACCAAACTGCCAGCTTGAAAACTCCTACATTTATATCGTGAAGAATAATCATTAATGGGCTCAAAATATTATCTCTGTTTGTGGCTTCAGAGTTGTCCCCAGGCCTGCTGAGTTTCTCCAGCACTTTCTGTTCTTATTGTTTATTTTTCTTCTGTGCTGATGAAAGATCACTGACTCAAAATATTAACTGTTTCTCACCTCAGATACCACATGGCCTGCTTAGTACTTCCAACACGATTTTGTTTTTTATTTATTTCAGATTTTCATAATCTGCAGTATTTTGCTGTGGTTGTGAGTTTCTCCCTCCATGCACTTCGTCACTGCTCAGCATGGTGTCACACTCTTGTCAACTTGTTGTCAACTAGTTTCACCTCCCCTCCACTTACCCTCCTACCCCCCACCCCTTGCAACTTACTTGCAACTAATTCCCCTCTTCCACAGTTCACCACCGTCCCCATTACCACACTCGTGGTCTGCCACAAACTCTCTGTCCATCACCCCACTTTTGCTCCTTCGTGATTCTGCTCTATTTTCCTTCACTATGTCATCAAAGAGCCTCTGGGAAACGGTGATCATAATATGTTGGAATTTTATATTGGAATTCAGAGGAACTTAATTAGAATCTCTATTTATTTATTAGTCACATGTACTAAGTAAGGGAATACATAAGTACAGCTAAAAGTGCACAAAGTAGCCATTCGCTGGTGCCAAAGTGGTTACAAAAACCAGAATTAAAAGATTGTAACAGAGCTAAAAGGTAAGCAAGAAGAAAATTCCAGATCTCAGAGTCCCAAGTCTCATCTTCACAACGGTGCAGGCGCTGCTCCAATCACTAAGACACCCAGGAGGCCACCGTCACCCCCTCACCGACCCCGCTCTCACCGCCGTCACCGCCTCACCAGCCCTGCTCTCACCGCCCACTGCCCCTTCATCGGTCCCGCTCTCACCGCCATCATCGCCTCACCGGCCCCACTCTCACCACC